AGTGCAGCCATTATGTGCCTGGAGCCCCACTTAGAGCAGATCTGGTGGAAAAATAAGGAATTACTGTACTTTCCAAGCAGAATTATGGGGACAGATTTAGCAGTCCAGATTGTGCAGGGCTAGGCAGGACACTGGAGTTAACACCCATTCTCTTACGAACAGTGCCTCAGGACCAGTAATCACCAAGTAGTTAAAACCTCAACATAATATCTCGTGGAAAAAGCACCTCCTATTGCACAGTGTCCCTTGCCCTTATAGTGTGACACTGGTTCCAGAATTCAGGCCCAATGGGAACAATGTCTCTTTCTAGCACACTGATACCACTGAGAGTGACATCCTATCTTAGAGGTCTCGCATCACAGGACTAACCACGCCCGTCCTTGCTTAGTTGATGAGATCTGACAAGTTCGGGTAAGAGGGTCTGTAGCTTCTGTGATGAAAAAGAATGTGTAACTGACCTTGATTAGAGTTTTGGATGCAACTGCATCCATATTGGCCTCACAGCCAAAAACAATTTTTCACAGTAAGATCTGAAGTCAGTCTGTTCAGATAATTTAATCTATTTTGAATGCTGAAAGCAAGTAAACAGATTTTATAATGGTGGAACAGGGAAATCTAATTAGGTTGCTCCTTGTTAATGCATGCAAATTGAATTTAATAGTGAGGAGTGTTAATGTAAGCATGTCGCCAATCTACATTGTTTACGGTGAGTAACATAAAAGCATTTGTTAGAATTCAGATTTATTTTCACAGGGCAGTTTTTTAGAAGGGAAAGTAACATTAATCTTCTATTAAAATGACTAGAAATCCCTAAGTACATACACAATAATAAAAGCATTAATCTGTAAACACTTATTTTCTTGTTGATGATTCTGCACTAGATTAGCAGCAACTCAAAAAGTATGTATCTATGAATAGGATAGTTACTGTACATGGTATTTATATATGGATACACATCTAGATGTGTAGGTACTTCTGAGCATTCACATTTCCTTTGATTTGTAAATACAAAACTGGACTGAAAGTATAAAGTTTAAATATTTCCACTTGCAAAGGAGGTTAATAAGGAACAGACGTAGCTTCAAAGTTCCATGGTGAATGGATTCTGTTTGAACACCGAGGAAGACAGGCTGAGGGTAAAAGGGCAGGTCAGCTGTTTAAAATCTTCATGACAATAGCAGTGCTGAAGGCTTATACGATTGAGAAATGACAGAAAAAGACAGGTAGGGTTAATTGAGACATAAAGATGTCTGAACAAAAGGCAACCTTTTTCCTGCCGGCAGGAACCAGCCAGGTCCCCACAGAGCATCACTGCCCTCACATCAGAGAACCACATTCTCCCTCCCCCAAAGCTCTGGGCTCTGGGGGAAGAAGAGTGCGCTGATTTACAGGGAGGGAGAAAAAAGCAGTCTTGACCCCAGCCGATCTGCACAGGTCTCCTCCAGGCTGTCCTGGGCAGGTCCCTCTGGAGTCTGATGGATGGAGCTTCTTCAAAGAGCCGGCTCTCAGGTTTTGGAGTTGCGGGTGACAGTGACCTGGCACGGACTGCTGTTTCATGGTTCAATGGGAGTCTTCTGTCATTAGCGCCATTAATCCAGTACTTTTTCTCTGCTTCCAGACTGAGGGGGCTGACAAAGGGCTGGCAAGCTTTATACTTCCTGGTGCTTCAAACCAGATGCCTGAAAGGAAAAGAATATCCTTTGATTATCCCTCCACCACTGCATTCTGCAGTAAGCACTGGAGTATTGAGCACAGGCTCAGCCGGGTTAAAGGCATCTCTTTGAAATACATGCAGTCAGGGCCATGTTCCTGCAGGGGAACGCTGTCAAACCAATTTAGCCTTTTTTCTGGAGCAACACTGTCTCACCAGTAAGCAGAAATTGTTATGTGTCTGAAGTTCAAAACAGATGGGGCTGAAGGATGGCCAATGGCATCGGAAATACATTGTCAAAGACAGAACATTTCTAACTGTAAAAAGAGCTGGAAGAGAAAGTCACCATCAATAGTTTTCTGTCTTTTTGACATTTTTATATGACATTGTTTTGCAGGTGCTATCCCAGATTCAAGGAAATTAGTAGATAAGAAATTTATTCTTTTAGTTTTACCATTATTTCTTCTTCTGTAAAACAAAACTTTTCACAAGAGAGTTTAAAGGCCATTTGCATTATGGTGCATTCAAATAAAAAAATAAACAATACTTGATAAACCAGGCATCATCACACAAACAAGCTTGTACAGTATATGATTCAGGACCCTGGTGTTTGATTCAGACCACAGGGGTGTTCTCCCCAAAATCTGTAAACAACACTGATGAACAAACACTTTTTTACGTTGGGTGGCCATGATGAATGTTCTTACCCAGTGCAACCCACAGGCTGTTGACTGGGTAACGAGATGAACGAAAAAACAAGCCAATGCATGACCTAGATCACAGATTAAAGCTAAAGTTCTTGAGTGACCCTTGCCATATGGCTTTGTGATTCACAAATTACAATGGTGGATATAAGTCCAAAAACCTGAACAACATAAAGCTTTGTAGTGAGAACATCAATGACAAAACCAAGCCATTATCTAAAGATGGAAGCAATTGCCCCCATAAAGGTAGGCACAATGAACCTTTCAAAGCTTACGATAGAAGGAGTGTCTGTATAGCACGCTGGCAGGTCTGAGTCATCTAGTGACTGCAATCATATATATGTTAACAGCCACAGCTGCAGTCATGTAAAGGCAAGGTTACCCTTCCTGAGTTATTACACGGTGCTGACTAGGTCTGGGTCAGTCATAAGTGATTCCTGTGAGCTGGTACCTTTTCTGAAGACTTGTGACAATTGAGCTTTCTGTTCCTCTTTCTCTTTCACTGAGCCACAGCATCATCGCACTGTGATTGGTTTTGGCCATTGCAAAAATCACCGTCACACCTGCAAAACACGTTCTGTTTCATGTGTGTATTGTCACACTTTTTCCACTTTGTACTCTGAAGATAATTCCCAAGGACATTTTATTTTCAGCCTGATTGTCATGAAGAAAAAGTGAACGATAAACAAAATTAGAGAAACAAAAAAGTGCAGTCATTGAAAGAGTTTGTACATACAGCTCTCCTACAAATGAAAATGCATGCACAGCTATCATTTGTACCTGTTGAATGAGGAATTTGTGATAATGAGCAAAAAAAGAAAGTTAACAAGTGTGAGTGACTAACTTTCCTCAGACTTATAAAGCCTTCTTCAGCTTTGGGTCCACTATATGCAGGGCTCAGTCCTAAGAATCCTCTGCAACTTTCATACTAATTAAACAAGTAGAGGGCTTGAAAATGGTGTGTAATCAAAGCAGTACTTAGAATGTTCATTTTATCACGGTATTTCTGTATAAACCTATCTGCTGCCTTACTGCAGGCTACTACAAACATCAAGGGATTTTAATATTTTTAACTTTTGATTTCTACTTCATTTCCTGTTTGCACTTCAATTATCTCATCAGTTTTATCACTTTTTTGTACGCTTATCTGCGTGGACATTTGACTTTCTAAACAAAAACCATGTTAAACCAAACCAAAGATAATGAATAATACATTTTCTGGCCAGCAATGGAATGTGTAATCTACCATGCTGCTACAAACATCAAACAAAACCAGAGAAATTATTAACGTGCCCATGCAAAGGCTAGGGTAAACTATCTGGAAGGAATATAATTATTGCAGCAGCAAAACAAAAACTATGAGAAAATAATTCAAACTATTATTTAATGTTTTTTAAATCTTATTTTCTTTCTGGTTGTAAACTGTACCCACAGTACAAAACCTCTGCTAGTTTTCCATTAATGTGAGATATTAAGTGATGAATGTGGACAGAAAAAACAAATGAGTGCCAGTACCTACAGCTAAGGAGACAGAATTGAAAAAACTTGATGAGAAGTCAAAGCAGACTCTGCAGTTTCATAGACTAGAATATGAATTGAGAGCATGACAATATAACACTGCCTTAAGAGATAAACGTTCAACACATCATCAAAATGTTACATCATTACAAAAGACAAGCAACAAAAAAATGATAATCTGAGATTAAATTTTAAATCCTTCACTCTTCAAGTAATCCCCACCCAGTTGTGACCAGAGAAAACCACAATACAGGGACATTGCCCTTTAATGTCAGAAACAAGAAAACCAGTTTGTGTACACCCAAGATTCATCAGCATGTCTCCATTGGGCTGAGTATCACCATCCACTCAGTTGACTGTTTCATATATTGACATGAAAACACCCTTATCGGTAACCCCATGCCCAGAAACTGGGTGGGGGGCTACTGGGAAACAATAGTTTACTCCAGCCTGGCCTGTGGCCACCCTTGCTTATCACTGAATCGCACTAATGCATTAAGTGAATGCTAAATCCTTAAAAGGCAGATGGGTTACCATTCATGTGCTAAAAAGACATTTACTTTAATTGTTCTGGCTGTAATCTGGCATTATGCTAGGAGTCAATTATCCATGACAAAAGGTTTCAGTTGAAACAGCATTTAAATGGAATAATTAACTTTTAATGACGCTACAGGTGACAATTTGCATGGATTCCTGCTCTCTCAGTTTTGTGCACATAATGGCAGGGTTTCACCCTTTTGGGATCATCTCATTCCTGAATGAGGTTCAGAAAAAGGGTTGAGAAATTTTTTTTCCCCCACTTAAAAAATTAGAATGAAAGGAAGATGGACCATTTTTATACTTCCTAATTGTGTCGAGGCTTTTATAATAATGAAAATGTATTCGGTGAAAACAATTGAGGAAAAAAAGGAATTTTGTATTTGTAATAAGAATGACATCTTAGCTAGCTCTTCCCAGGCTGTCAGAGGCCTGTTTCTGTTTGATTACATTTTTAAAAAATCTAACATAGGTGTATTGAAATGAAAGGAATTGCAAAAATTTGTTTTTTATTCACTACTGTTAGAACAAAATATGAAGTGACCAGTTCCTTAAATTTATGACACAAAAGCAACACCTGTTTCATACAGGAAATTTTATTCTTGTTCTTTACAAAATTCTCCATACAGTTACATACTCAGTTCAATAAATAAGATCTCTTTCTCTGAAAGAATTGACAATTCAAACCTATAAGATCAATAGCACCCACAAGGTGCAATTATGTTACTGCTGCACATTCAGACAGACACACAATATACTGTACAGTACATCAACAGCACTTTGCCTTGAAAATGGCAGTTAACCATGTCAATTAAATATGTGATTGTGATCAATAAGGAACGTCAATTCAGGAAATGTTTGTGTTGCTCTTATTGGGCCCTTTGTACCCATCACTTTCAATTATTTTGGGTGCTGATCTTTCATGCTCATTAAGAAAAGTACACTTGTTTTTTTTTCCTTTTATGTCCAGCACAAGGGTTCAGATCTCATAAAGATCAAAGTGGATTTGTGCATTTGTTTTTCAGGCTTTGAAATCTTTCAATTTTAGTTTGTCCTTAAAGTTGCAACACCAAGTATGGAACAACTATATCATAAATCCAACAACAAAATAGCACAACATTTGAGCCAGCAGGGTTTTGTTAATTATATACCTCAAGGGAGATCCCTTAACAGTCTCTGGCAACCGAAATATTGGCATGGAGATCAAACAACTGGAGTGCAAATACTTATAAATATATCTTATTAATTTACTTCAAACATTTCAGTCCCAGCTCTCCTTTCCCTTCTGATCCCATTTCTTTTCTTTATGCCACTGCCTCAGAGCCACAGACTTTCTTCACATACAGAGCAGATTTAACATCTGGTATCAGATCTCTGAAACCACTTCTAAACGATGCTAGGTACCGCCCTGCAGAAAAGTGGAAAAAAAACACAATCACACTTAATATACTTAAATGCATTAAATGTAATTAATCTGCATTGTGACTTTAAGTATGTTCAAATGTTAATATATGCTTCACCATCAAACACTTTTTATTTCCAGGGACTTGAGGAGTTGTAATTTTCTCTGTGGTTGATTTTAGGGGGAGGCTGACTCTGAAATTACAACTGCAGTCATCTTTAATATGAAAACCTTTGCAGTATTAAAAGGCTCCTTCACACTTTAAAAGACCAGATCTAAGCTTCAGGCTGCTTTGCAGAACCACACAAATACACAAGTGAGAGAAGAGACTTTCAGCTTATAGAAGACATTTAGTAAATTATATCATTGCAACATAAGGCTGAAATTAAAAGTTTAAGTACAATTATGTGATAGCAGGAATGCTTTAAGAAGAATCCAAAGAGCTTTTGCTCAAAGCCATTAAAGCAAAGATCAAACAATCAAGAATGTGAATGATGTTAAGCTTTATTTCCAAAAAAGTCAGGAGTAATCTTGTTGTTCTTTGCTTCCGCTCCTTATGTTTGTGAAGAAATATGTCTTGGAAGTTAAACTGACATTAATTTATGGCATAAAACCATTATAGTTTCTTATGATAGGGGGTAACACACAGACACTGGCAGCAAATACCCATTGCAAGGCTGCTATACAAAACCCCTGAGTGAAAAAAAAGACCCTGCCATTCCACTGTGGGCCCCTGCTAAGCAAAAGTGCATGAATGTGTGTTGGTGCTACTAGAGGAACTACTGCCAGCTGGAGCGAACTGTATCTGTGGCTTGACTTGCTATAATTGCCCCCCTACGCCCCCAATGCAGCCTTCATTACTGCGTAGCAAAACAATTATTAACCACTATGGATTAGCCAAACCAGTGACTCTCAAGACAAATTCCATGCGGTCCCCAAGCTATAGTGCCCACTTTTTACAGGAAGCTGCACAGTCGTTTTCCTTTGTCAATGCATTCGGTCAAAAATGGAAAGTTTGATTAGGAGACAGATCGGGGCAGTGGTACTACATCACTTTCTCATTTTTAGAAAACTAACCAAAGGGGTCTAAAGCTGCTCCATAGTATGTTTGGCTTTTGTCCATACCATTTACAGGATTTTACTGCACTTCTGTTGTTACATCACACCATGAGAAACACTGCCCTCGATTGTTCTGAAAGTAGTGAGAGAATTCTTTCCTTCTGCCCTACGGGAGCTCACCTGTCCACGTCCTCTGGCTGCTCACAGAAAAGCTGGTACACTGGGGGTGGGAGCTGCAGATGTGCGCTGCCTCCCTGGCACTGTGCACAGACAACACGCATCCCTGGTGGTTGTAAGATGGCCAACATCTGTAATCAACACTATCCACTGGCCTCTTCCCCTTCACTAGCGTGTAACCTAGAAGAAGAATAAGAATAATTTGTCTCAAATTAGCCCGCGTGGCAAATTCATCTGCAAAATATTACCAGGCCATTAAATAGAAAACTTAACAGAGGTCTTCTTAGTAATGGTCAGAATAGCAGCTAGGGTGTTGTATTACATACTGGCATGCACTCACCCTAAGTGTTCAGTGGGAAATGTGCTGGGGAATACTAATGGAAAACAAACGCTCCACCAAGTAATTTTCTGCAAACAGTAAGCTGCTTCAGAGTGAGAAATGAGGGCCGTCTACCAAACTGTGACTGGCTTTTAGTGGACTTTCAGTCTCACACTGTGCTTCTATTAAAAAATTTCTTATAAAAACACACATACATACCATCTTTCTTTACCCAAAGACGTCTTGCTGCTGAGTTCTTAACATTAATATTGTCTTCATGACTACTTGCTGGTACGATATGAGAAACAGGCAGGTATGCACTGATTCCCAGGGGAAACTACTAAAATTATCAACTATCCCTTCTCAATGTGTCAGTCATAAATACCACACGGCAGGGGGAAAAAAATCACTTGGTCACCATTATTTTCAGCATTTACTTTCCTCCTTTATGTCATGCTTTAAGACATGTGGTGAAAAGTTAGGGATTTTTGTTAGTTCTTCACATATGCTAAACAGGGGCTAAGAAAATGGAGGGCTTTTTGTTTATATATTAAGTGCAGCCGTTACTTGAACAATTAGACATGAATATTCTACTTTGAGACAAAACTAATCCAAGGAGGATGAATAAAACACATTTTTGGCACATCGGAACAGCAGCCATACATAAAAACTGGTTTGAAATTTGTAGTGAATGGAAAATATGACACTCCTCATAATATCTAATGCTCCAAAGGGCAATGTATAATTGTTCTCTTTTCCTGAGCTGGTTTACAGCAAGAAAGTAAAAGGGAATTTATTATTTTTAAGTGCTCCTCACAGTTATGAGCAGTAATTACTTTAAGGGTTATGCCAGAGGCCATTGTTGCCAAGAATCATGAATACAGGATGTTAAATATATGAGCATTTCACCAAGATTTACCTCTTAATAAAGATGGTGGCAGGTTGTTCAGGTATCGCCCAGACTTGTACATCTGTAATATTTCTTCAAACCCTTCGAGAGTTTCATTTATACCACTCCTCAGCTCTCCTATAAAACAGAACACCAGTGAAGCAGTTAAATTGAAATGGAATTTTGACTGATGAGATCACAGAACTTTCTTAAAATAAAAATCTTGCATCTGCTCTCCTGGTTTCTGCCAAGTTCTGATTTTTTCACATCGAAAAGGACAAGAAAGTTCATTTTTTTCTTACCTGTTGAATTCATGATGTTATCAATGAGATGCTGTAGGGTTGGGGGTGCACGATGAGGCAGTAGATATGTGAAAAAATACCTGGAACACAAACACCATTTTCTGTTTAAAACACGGTTATAATAATGACAGCAGGCAATGTTCAGGCACAGAGGCATGACCCTCTTAACACCAAACCTGGTATCTACGGTAAAGAAACTTCACGATTCGCACATCTGTGCACCTTAAAACTATTAAAAATGAAAATGTACATATCAGTGTGACAGTATACAAAGCAGTCTTCCAACAGGAACAACAAAGCAAGAAGACTACACACTTCATAAGCAATTAACAAAAACTACAATTAAGGACTGTGTTGGAAACATTAGTTCATGTAATGTGCAATGAGCAAAAAAAAGTGAAGAGTTTTTTGAGTTTCAAGTGATTAATATGCAAAGCTCTAATCATTCAATTTCCTCTTCCCTCACAGAAAAATAACTAACTGAACTGTAATACCTGTAGGCATTGTACAGGTTAGTCTTTTCATTCAGCCCCTCACAGATCCCTCCTGCAGCACAGGGAAAAGTGAAGTTTCTGTGCGGAAAGGTAAGGGTGCAGTCGCTGTCCGTTCTGCAGGATCTCTCCTCTGTGCTTGCATCATCCAGGTCTGTCAGTTTCAGCTCCCCAGACACCACCACAAACTGCCTGGGCTGGAAGTCCAGGAGAGCCACAGAGCCCAGGGGGGAGATAGACAGGTAGTGGAGCAGCCTCACCAGACTCAGGCAGATCTGAAACCAGAGAACCAGTCAGAGGCCTTTGTCAGGAAAGGAACATTAGAGAACGTCAGTCAGAGTGAAAAATCAGGCACTTATGTCAAGGTACAAAAATGCCTTTGTCGGACTGGAGACACAGCTGAGCCACTGAGTAACTCTTTAAGATTTACTCCCCTCTATCTTTTCAAAATCTCAATCAGACCAATAGGGAGCAGAGATGACTGAAACTAAATATATGAGAAAAATGCTATTATTCCAGTTTGTAGGAAGATTTTACTTGCTAAACCTAAGTCAATCTTGGTCATGAACCAAACTTTTTTTGGTCTTATTCTTGAGCTCATTCGGTTCAGTGTGTGAGAAAAGCCCTGACTTGTCCCAGTCATTTCTCAAACATGATAGTTCAAAAGATGGACAAAATGCAGAAAGTGAATCTATCGCATTGTAAGGCTTGGCTAGCATTCTTCCAGGATTAATAAAAATAGCCTATAAAAGAGGTACATACTAGAGTAGGTTATTCAGTCCATCTCTCTCATTTGTACAAAACAAATGTACACAGAACATGTTTTCTCATTTTTATATGCTCTGTGATTTTATATCAGCTTCGGATAAAGCACGGAATCACAGTTTACTAGACTCTCTGGTGACCATCTGCCCCTGTCTGTGTTTGATCAGTACCTGACCCGACTCTATGCTCCAGGCTGATGGGGGAAGGGGTTTGGTTAATGGTCTTCAGGCAATGCATGCCCTCTGCTCCCCCAGGTCCACTCAGCAGGACGGATTAATACCCCAGGGAGTGCGAGAAGGGGGCTGTTGTTGTCTTACCCGAAAGCGCTCCTCCCAGGGGCTCTGGAGAAGCTGGATCATCTGCAGCGGAGAGCCCAGCTCCAGGGCTGCGGTGACTCCGCTGCCCCAGTCCCTGCCTTGGCAGTGACCCTGGAGCTGCAGGGAGGGAAGAGGAGCAAGACCCAGGGATTGAAAGCACTGAGCTGCATGCCCCTAACCTTGTCCCCCCCCCAAAAGAAATGCAAACAGTGCTTCTACCAGCCTCACTGCAACAGACATTATTTTGCGTCACCATTATTCCTTTTTTTCAGTTTAATGATCTGGATTGTATACACCGCATATAAAAAAAAGAACTGATCGAATAAGATGAGGAAAATATATCAGTTTCTAATAAATTACCTACACATACATGGGTAGTCAGGCAGGCAGAAAGAGACAAAGAAAGCAAAAGACTTCAATAAGGAATCATTTGAAAGTGATGTATTTCTAAGGTTTTCACAAAGTGCCAAGATGAGATAATGTGATTATTGACATTTCTCTACCTAGCAAACCGGTTTTGTAAGCACCCTACTCCGTAATGTGGAGTTTAAAACACATTATAATATAATCAGAACACATTTAAACAGGCGGACATTGAAACGACAGGAAATGCCCTTGTAAAGAAACGTTATTTAATGTGTTTAAATTAGTGATGGAGGCCTTAAATGTAATTTGTCGAAAGTAGCTATCTTGATTTGCAGTCTGCTAAAGAGAATTACCTAAAATGGGTGCAGTGTCTTTAACAGACCCCGAATCCTCATTGTTGTTTGGCTTGTTAATTGTTTTGGAGACGGGGCGTAACTGCAAACAGAATTTGCCAAAGTGGGTGATAATTAAATTACACTAAAGCAATCTCGTGTTCCGGACAAGAAGACGCCCGCAAATTACATTTAAATAATTTTAAGGTATTCGATAAGCGATCGCGCGATCTTTTTAACAGAAAGAAACTTTGCTTTCGAAACTCTCTAGATCACTACAATTCTTATTGACCGCTGACAAATATTTGATCAGTTATGAATATTTTGGTTTTTACTTAAAGCTATGACTAACTTCAAATTGCTAAGAAAAAGTATCGACAATTCACTTAGTTCTACACAGGTAATAGATCTGAAGTGAATGTATCTTGACGACACCCACCTTAATGATATTGGGATGTTGAAGCCTTTGTAACAACATGATTTCTTTTATCAGCTTGTAGGACACCAGCTCGTAGCAGCCTTCCACGTCTCCAAAGTCTTCCAGGCATCTTTTCATGTCAGTACCTCTGTCGTTCACGGATTTGAGGGCAACGGGTAACCCTTCAGGAGAAACAGCCTTCAAAACTGCCTTAGTATATCCCGAGCCCAAAAAATCCACGTTTTTGAAATAACGGAGCTGCACGCAACCAATCATCCCGGTACCAGCGCTTTCTTCCACATCCAGAATATCTTTCACCTTCGTCCTGGCCAGCCCGTGGTTCGTTAATGAATCGGAGTCACCGTCTCCTCGCTCTTTCCACTGGACTTTCAGAAATGTTTCTTTCGTGGATTCCGTATAGTAAGGCAACAGTTCCCTGTGTTTTTCTTTGATTTCTTTTAGGATAGGACTTTGCTGTGAGACAGGAGCCGAACCGGACGCGCCACTGACAGAATCCCCCTCGTCAACGTGCAAGTGTCTGCTATCCGAGAAAAACCTGGAAGCCGTAAATAAGAAAACAGTAAGTGCTGCAGCACAGAAAGGGATGCTAAGACTATACATCTCGTGCAATTAGATGATATTATTATTTTATATATGTTTACAGTCTGGACAGATCCAGGCGATCTCCTTCTCTCTCTGAGTCTCTAATAATGTTAACCTGAAGACTTGGTTGTCACTGCAAGCTTCAAGCAACACCCCGAGAAGGCGTGACTTCTCTCAAACTCTGGCGCCTCCCAGTCCACAGCACAGCCACCCATCTACGCATACACTATGCCAGTGTCATTGCTGCAGCAATGAAAAAGGTACATTGAACAAAATTGAACACATTGCAGTTTCTCTACAATAATGTGCAGTTTTTTTTTCTATTTGAATTAAGCTTTAAATACATCTGCTTTGGAAATATGCGAGCTTGTGTAGATGTGTGCCAAGTTATATAATCGGTCGAGTATTCTCCGATAAGTATTACAAGAACAACCTACCCCTCCCACAGGTAGCGCTGCTCTTGTCTTTCAGACAAAACTTCACCTCATACCATACTATACCTTGGCATGAAGAAGACTTTTTAGAAACGGATAAAATCCAAATATTAAGCACGTTGCTGCTGTTTCTTGGCGAGCACCTCAGTATATCCTCAGTATATCCAAAGAGAGAATATCCAAATATATTGTAACACCTGCAAAATTTTACATTTTAAAAAGCACTGATAACATCTGTATTATTTTTCATCGGTACAGTCATACCTCAGGCATAGATACATAATGGTTTACATGTTGTATACGACCTTAAGAAGAAAACCCAAATTGTCCTAACATTTTTCCAAGTAATTCATAATTTTAGATATGTGGTACATGTGATCAGTACTGGATTACAGTTGTGTACGTTTATATGTATATACAAATTTAAACCTGGAAGAAAGCATCCACGTTTTGAAGTTTTTTTTAAATGTCACGATCAAGAAAAAAATGAAAATTGTGGCGGTTGGAATTTACCGGTTTGGTTGTCGCTGGGCTTTCGGGCCTTATGTGCTTCACACAAGTAAATTACTAGAAACCCATTGCACAGGCCAATAACTCAAGTATCAGTAGATGAAATGTATAATGTCCATCTACACACCTTTTAAAACGACTTACTTTAAAGCATGACTGTTCCATTACAGTTATTTTAACGGTACTGTTTTACCAGACAAGAAAGTTTATTTTACTTACGACGATCTACACCAGTCTGTTGCCTCCCTTTCATTGTGGTCTGTGTATCTATAACATTGCTGCGGTGGCGGGCGCCCCCTAGAGCCAACGATCTCTCTCCCCTCTGTCTTGTATAGAGCTCTGCCCACAACAGCTGCAGAGTTCACTCGCTTTAACAATTTAACAGTTGTAGAGGATAAAAATTAAGATACGGGTAATGTTAGGCTTATGTTAATGATGTTGTTTGACCCACTGCTTGTTTCTTGTTAACATAACCTATTATTTCAACATATCATCATAAATAATTCTACTGAACATATTTGCAGGGTAGTTGCACGTACAGTAAGATTCGAACATTTTTTTCAATGTGCGTTTGTTTTTTAAAATTAATTCAAAATAATGTTCATTATCAGATCTTGAGACGAGTTCATAAAGTGATTCCCGTTGCAAATTTCCGTAGTGCTATCTAGCTATTTACATAATTAATATGGTCAAATTCTATATCACAAAATACCTAATACCTAAATCTAACGTCTGTTTTGAGCAGTAGTGTACACTATAAAGATTCATTTTCTCTTTCACTCACTCTTTAAAGTGTAGACGTGTTCAATTTACTCAAAAAGGATAATTCCAGCATAAGCAGTAATTAACTCATATTAACGTGCTTTCATGTACTCTAAATGACGCTGGTTACTTTTATTAAGCGAACAAACTTGATTTTCCACTCTGCTCCTTCTTTTTTCTAAATCGTTATTTATTAAACTATCCGAGGAAAACACCAAATAACAGTCGATAAGGGCAAATCGGAAATTGTCGGGCTTCTCACCAAGCATTCAAAACTGTAATCAATTTTGATTGCAACAATAAAGATAAACCTAAAGATTAACCCCGGATGAGAAATCCACAATCCTTTCAATCAAGTTATGGAAATTAGCCACCAGGCCTTTACCAGTCATAGCCTCCTAATAATACCCATCTATGAATTGGCTTTATTACTGTGTGCTCCTTCCCTCTGATAGCTGACGTGTAGTGATCGTACGTTGACAGCCGTCACATAATCCAGGTGGGTGCAGGTGAGCGGAGTGACAGAACAGGGCTATATAGTAGTAGTAATAATACATGACCGAAAGAACCAATTAAATGATAAGCAGTCTTGAGACCGTTTTGGCGACGTCTAGCGGTAGCTAGGAGTCATCACAGACCTCTCAGATTGAGCAACTTGGCGACAGCATATACATTATGGGAAAAAGTCTCTATATTATTGTGATTTTCTTATTGTTTTTCATTTAAATGCAATAATCAGCGGATATTTCAATGTACACATTTAAAAATAGCAATCGGAGTTTATTATAAGTGCCCTTAATATAGAAACATTAATACTAATATTTAATGCAGATACCTTTAAATTAGCGGTTTTCGCTGCTTTTTTTAATATACTGTAATGTGGATCATTTGTTTGTAATTTCCTAATGTTTCTGTACCCCCTCTTCATTTAATCACAAAAGTGTGAATAACACCTCCACTTGTGATAAAGCTCCGTTTTGCAGTTTCAAAGCATATGTTCTTGGCGCTTTTGCTACATTTCCTGCGGACGAATTCTCTTAACAATTAGGTTATAGTAAATGAAATAATTCTAATACAGTTAACTGTGAAAACGATAATGGTCGTGAATAAAAGTTAATGGATTCAATTGTGGATTCAGTTGTCGAGGTTTTTAAAGTTTAATTCGTTGTAGATTGTTTCTGTGCTCTATTTTTCTGAGTAATTTCATGTTAAACATATAAAATTTGCCCATGGATTAATGGGCATGAGAGAAATATCTTTTACATTATACATTTCTTGTATGTGATTTTCATGTCAGTAAGTTATCTTAATTGCTACAACTTTATTTTCTGTATTATTTTAATCATTTTATTCGAATTTATTTGGTGCTACCGTAACAATCTAATGATAAAATCAAGCATTTGTCTTAGCATGTTCCCCAACAACATATAGACCATAATAAATTTAATTTGTATCTAACTTTCAAAACTTAAGAAAGGAAACGACAGGTGGTCTTTCGACTGGAATAACTTATTATTTTATTGGTAGCCCCAGGAGACATTATTTAAAACACGCCAAGGCTTCATATTTGACAGCATGGGTGGGTAGTTTATTCCAGACACCCACAAATACGATGCAAAAAATGCCTCCACTTGTTGTTAATAGTGCGCTTCCCCATGCTTTCTATGCATGTACTGTACTGTACTCCATATAGGTATAAACAGTCTTACATTTAGGGAGGAGTTTCTATGTTAGTTCATTGGGTTAAGTGTTTTCTTTTCATTTTTAACCATGTTCCCGAAAATGTATTGCTTGTGTACTCCTTTCATTGGTGAAGAGACACAAGTTTCCAAATTACCGCTGGTACAACACGAGAGCCCATATTTACATTTTTAGGTATTTCAAGATCGTTATAATTTAACAATTAAAAGCAAAATTGAAAGCACAAGCATAATAATATAATGATCATAGACTTTACATTTCTATTAATTTTTGAAGTACATAGCAGATGGTGACTCCCCTACCTTAAATATACAATTAAAATTGTTAAAATACCATGTATTCATTACAGAAAGCAGCGGAGACAGTTATATTGCAAATAAAAATGTATTTATTTCGAAGAGTACGGGATATTGTGAACCAATAAAGACGTTAAAAAATAATCTGAAGTAGTTATTTTGCAAATAAGTAAAGCATTTTAAAAATAAGTTCTCATTCACAGTAAACAAGCCGATCTACCCGGCGCTGCTAGGTTGAACAGCTCTCAGACCCGTGATTGGCTAAACCCCCGAACAGCTCGGGCCGCGATTGGGTGAAGAGTGAGAATCGACACTCTGATTGGGTAAAGCGCCACAGCGGAAGTTCTGTATGTACCGTGTGTGCTGTATGAGCACGCTGGATATACAGTAACACATCCATTGGTTTCCAATTACTGATCAATCTAAGAGAAGTCGCACTGAGGTCAAAACTGAAAAGCAGACAAAGAATGTCATGGTATCCACAGCGCATTCACGACTCCGATAGTCACGATAGGAGTGCGCGCATCACGATCACATCGCGACACCCATTGCGACTGGCGCATCACTGTCGTGGTACCACTGTCTCAACATTAAGTCCATATATCGCTATATGACATACCCCGACAAAACGCCCCTCCCCATGTCGGGAATTGGACCCCGCATATCGCGATATGGCTTACCCCCGACAAAATGCTCACCCCCATGTCGCAATATGGAGTCCACATATCGCGATATAATATACCCACCCCCGCAAAAGTGCCCGCCCTGATGTCGCGGCATGAAATGCCCTATATCGCGATATGACATACGCCCCCGCCCCCATGTCGCGACATGGATCCCTCATATCGCGATATGGCGTACCCCCGGCCATAAGTGCCCCGCACCATGTCGCGATTTGAAATGCCCTATATCGCGATATGACATACCCAGCCAAAACGCCCAACCCCCATCTCGCGACATGGAGTCTATATATCGCGATATGACAAAAATTGTCATGCCCATGTCGCGACATGAAGCCCTATATCGGGACACTTACTATTCTGAGTATATCATATCCTGATATGCGACCTTTGTTGCGACAGCGGTGCTAGGGTGGCATGGAAGGAAGGCACCAGTCGTGATAGACACTGCCGCGATATACATGGACTCCCCATCATGACAAACTGTGGAGGTCTTGTCACGCTGGTATCCCACAGTAACGCGTCTGGCAACAGCGTGTCATGGTAGGGAAAGAAAGGAAAATGTGCACTAGAAAATAAAATCCATAGATCTTACAGTCACGGTGAATTTCATACATTACAACCACAGGTTTATGTCATAGATGGTTAACTTGTTGGTACGTCATAGTATTATTCACATTTAAGGAGGCTCATTTGTTTATGGATATTGATTGTCTTTAAAATGTTAAGCGTACGAGCTAAACTGTAACAGAGCACTTGAACT